AATGTTTGTCAAATGTAGGCCTATGTTTTTTTTTTTTTTTTGAGAATGAGATTTATATATATATATACATACATACATACATACATAGGGAAAAGGCTATTCATATTTTACAAGTATTTTTCGAAATGTGGCTCTGATGAAATAAAACACACAATTGAAAATGTATTAATTTTATTTAGTAAATACGATACTTGCAGGGTCATTTAGGCCCAATCCCAATTCAATTTTTTCTATACTGTAAAAAGGTACTTGCCAGCCACTAGACTTTTCTGACAGGGTATTCGAGTGTCACCGATGGTCAGAATGTTGTGGGACTGCTATACAGGAGTTGTTTTTGTTGTTGTTATAAGGGGGCATGTCCTCATAATCAGTTTCAACATTGTAATATTTAGATCTTACCATACTAATGTCCTTATATACCCCACTCAAACACAGAACTGCCAAAACATTGAGCAGAAAATCAATCCTAACCCCTAAACTTTGATCAGCAGTGCATCTGAATATGAGTTCATAATTTATATATTAGTCAACATTTGAAGTGGATTATAACCTTTCATTTAAAGTTGTCCTAAAACCATTGAACAACCTCTATTCTTGTCATATTACAATTTTGAGATTTAAAACAAAAAATTATCCACTTCAAATGTTAACTACTGCGTGCATGCAACTAAGGTCTAGTAGGTAATCTACCAAAATGCTATCTGTTAGTATATTTTTAAAACACAGTCCCTCCTTTGCCATTCAAAGCCACGCCACCTGAAATCACGAACTCTCATTAGATGACAATAGACAACCCACTAGATCATGTCATTTGCCAGTTACAAGACTTTTTAGTACTTTTATAATAGTACAATTCAAAACAAAAAATGTATCATATCTAGCATTTTTTTCAGTTTTGTAGCGAGGAAACTTGTCAGGATGTGCAATATTTCATGCATGCAAGGATCGCTGGTCTTACTCGCATGTTTTGTTCTCCAGCGACTACTGTATGCTTAGTGGTTGGCCAGAGGGGTGCAGGAATTACACTTAGCTATTACTAAGCCATACCTGCATGCTATTTTAGAGCGAATATTCAGAGTAGTGGTAAACAATATATAGAGTGTGTCACAGATTGTCATTGTTCAAAAATGAACCAAAGTGAATATAAAACCAACTTCACCTCAGTAAAGCAGGCTAGACAATATAGCGCTGTTTACTGATGTCTTGTTGTTAAACCAATAATGAAGTTTTTTTATATAATGCTGTGAAAGGTCCCTTATGAAACTGAAAATTGTCACATGTATCATTCGCAGAGATTTCAGTGGCTGAACAACATTTCTGTGCTTATAGCCCAATCATAACAACACAATCTACATCAGCTTTGGGGGGCTAAAGTAGTTTTAAAACAGAACATTACCCGTCTTAACATAAATACTTTAGCCATGGTGTCGTCCTTCCTCCAGCGTGCAAAAGTATCTCCAATATTGATTTAGGATTTTAAAAAGTTTTGATTCAGCATTAGTTTTTACCTTCTCATGTGCACATCATGATCCTGGCATGCGTGCATGTGCAAATGGCAGATCTGCGTGAACGGTTGCGTGGATGTAGAAATCTACATTTGTTGACAGACAGTTTGGGCAACTCTATCAGTATCATGGGAATTATCGGCTCAACAATATTTAATTGGATGAACATTTTATTAGTTTTATGCCTTACCCAGAATATAAAAATGTATATAAACACATTTAGATTATTTACTTTTAATCAGTACTATTGGAATGTAAAGAGACTTTCAACCAGCACAACAAAAAATGCTTCTGAAGACAATCCCCTGCTGCACCTTTAAGCATCATACACAAACATTGATAATCAAACTTAAAATCATTAAGCCGTGCGTCCTAATCATCTGTTCTCTCCCTCTCAGTGCCCTCTGCCAGTATGACCCGCCTGGTCCGCTCCCGCACAGCATCCGGATCCAGCATCACCTCCTTTGACGGCAACCGCAGCAGGTCACACACCAACGAGGGCAACCGCAGCCGCTCGCACACCAACGAGGGTCGAGCCCGAGCTCACACCTCCGAAAACCAGCGCGGGCGCTCGCACACCGACAACATGGACAGTTCTGTGGACCAGACCCCCAAGTCCACCGAAGTGTCCTGTTAAACTCACACACATGCATTATAAACCAATCAGTTCTGACTGTGCTGCGCTGCCACTAACTCACACACGCACACCGTTTCCCTCTCATTTCAGTAGTCGGAGAGCATTTACGCCAAAGTGCGCTTAAGACTAGATTTCCTCAGGGGGAAGCGCTGTGTTTCTGAAGGAGTGGATGGAGAATTTCTTTTCTTTTTCCACCCTGCACAATGGCTGTCTTGTTGGTGGTGGTGGTGTTGTTGTTGTTAGAGGCAATGCAGCACAGAGACATCGTGATGGTCATCATCCAAGTAAGATGGCCACGTTTTTTTTTTTTTTTTTTTGGTTGTTGATCTGTAGTCTGCAATTTGTTTTCACTCATTATACCACACTTTTACATGCTAGTTTGAGCGCATAATTAATTGTATAATCTGTATATGCTGAATGGACCTTGTTGAAGGGATTGTTTGACCACAGAGTAGAGATGAATTTCTTTTTTTTTTTTTTTCTTTCTTTTTGTTCATGATGCTAACCTTCCTAAGTGTTGATCTGCGTTTTCCATGTTGGGAGTGTTCTGTTATTTTGGGTTGTATTTGTAACATTGTGATTGACATTTCTTAAAAGTGATTTTAAATGATTTGTATGGGGTCAAATGAATCTTGAGATTAGTTCAAATTTAACCAATTTGTAGATATAAGAATATGAGAAAATGGCTGTATATGAGTATTATAATATTTTGTTTGTTTATAACTTTTATGACTGATGATGATTTCTATGCAATCAAGCACAACAGAACAAAATGTGCCATGGATTCCTCTACTGGGACTGGATGCTTTTTTTGTTTTCTTTTTTTTTGGCTTTGAAAGAGTGAAAGATCGCCGGGAAAGAGAAAGAGATGAATATAAGCAACTCACCTGCTCTTCCCCATACACACACATACACATATATATACACACACACACACACATACATTAAAACAAATGCTTGCAGCTTGGTAAGGCACCTCGCTTTGTAAAGATGTAAAACAACTTGATGCACAGCTTTTTTAATGGAATAACAGTTTGTATTTATTAAAAAAAGGAAAATAAAAAGCTGGTTACTTGATTTGTTTTTTGTCTGTTTATTTGGCGATTACGTGACAAAACGCTGTTATATGCATGACATTCTACATGTGTCATATAAGAGCATATATGTGAAGACATTACAAAAACTGTACATTATTAACACATACATCTTGCATAAATTAAGGTAGTTTGACTACAGAAGTCAATAAACTTGCCTTTTTCGATGGGCTACTTATTAATTTTTACAAACAAATTTGTCACTGTGACTCTGTCAAAAGTTGATTATATATACCCAATGGCCACTATATTAGGTACACCTGTCCAACTGCTTGTTAACGCAAATTTCTAATCAGCCAACCACATGGCAGCAACTCAATGCATTTAGGCAAGTAGACATGGTCAAGATACTCTGCTGCAGTTCAAACTGAGCATCAGAATGGGAAAGAAAGGTGATTTAAGTGACTGAACGTGGCTTGGTTGATGGTGCCTGAGTATTTCAGAAATTGACGATTTTCTGGGATTTTCATGCACAACCATCTCTAGGTTTTACAGAGAAAGGTCAGAACAAGCGAAAATGTCAGTGAGCGGCAATACTGTGGGTGCAAATGCCTTTTTGATGCCAGAGGTCAGAGGAGAATGGCCAGACTTGTTTGAGCTGATAGAAAAGCAACAGTAACTCAAGTAACCACTCATTACAAATGGAGGTATGCAGAAAAGCATCTCTTAAAGCACAACACATCGAACCTTGAGGCAGATGGGCTACAGCAGCAGAAGACCACACCAGGTGCCACTCCTGTCAGCTAAGAACAGGAAACTGAGACTGCAGTTTGCACAGGCTCACCAAAATTGACAATAGAAGATAGAAAAAACGTTGCCTGGTCTGATGAGTCTCGATTTCTGCTGCAAAATTTGGATCGCAGGATCAAAATTGGTGTCAACAACATGAAACCATGAATCCATCCTACCTTGTATCAATGGTTCAGGCTGGTGGTGGTGGTGTAATGATGAGGGGGATATTTTCTCGGCACACTTTGGGCTCATTAGTACCAACTGAGCATTGTATTAACGCCACAGCCTACCAGAGTATTGTTGTTGAACATGTCCATCCCTTTATGATCACAATGTACCCATTTTCTGATGGCTACTTCTGAACACGCCATGTCATAAAGTGCGAATCATCTCAGACTGGTTTCTTAAACATGACATTGAGTTCACGGTACTCAAGCGGCCTCTACAGTCAGCAGATCTCAATCCAATAGAGCATCTTTGGGATGTGGTAGAACAGGAGATTCACATCATGGATGTGCAGTTGACAAATCTGCAGCAACTTCATGATGCTATCATGTCAATATGGACTAAAATCTCAGAGGAATTTCCAGGACCTTTTTGAATATATGCCACAAAGGATTAAAACAGTTCTGAAGGCAAGAGGGGGTCCAACCCAGTACTAGCAAGCTGTACCTAGGAAAGTGGCCAGTGAGTGTATTTTCAATGGTTAAATATGATGTCCCATTTTGGTATTTGCAGCAAGTGATTAATTTAGACTGTACAAAGTTTTAGCAAAAATAAAACTTGTGGATGAAATATTCCACTACCACTTAGTGTAACATATTTATGTAAAAATGAAACAACACACTCATTCTGATCTGTACTTATTTGATATATAAAATAATAAGTGATTGTGGTACATTGAACGATATTATGATGCTAATTACGGTCTTTTAATATGCAATCAAATATTGATTCTTGTTCTAAATGTGCCTGATAAGAGCTGTTTTATTTATATATAAACTAATATTACATTGAATGATGGTGTCTTTTCTGTAAATCATGGAAAAATTACATGCTTAAAAATTCTTGTTCGACTTTGACCCACTTATTAATATGAAATAATCACATAAATTAGGATATATATCACTTACTCACTATGCATTGGCTTAGTCCCTGATTTATCAAAGGTTGCCACAGAGGAATGAACCTCCAATTACTCTGGCATATATTTTATTTTTCCAATAGGAAAATGTCTTATATAAAGAAAAATGCCCCTAAAACAACTGTCTGTTAAATATGATCAATTTTATAAATCCAAGTCTTCATATTGACTGTATCTACGCAGTTTCAGATCTCCCGCTTCTCATGGTACTGTTCTAGATCAGTAAATATGTCATTAGGGTTCTTACAACTCAGGTTGCAGAAGCAGGCATTGATCCACATGACCTGCCAGGTGAATCCGGGGCCGTTCGGGCACTGGAAGTCGACTTCAATAGTTTTGGATTTGTAGGGGATGCAGCAGCGCTCGTCTGTACACACTCCACAGTACTTGGGCCGGTAGGTGTTTGTGCTGGTGCAGCCTGAGATGGTGAAGTTTTGAGGCTTCTCTGCTCTGTAGATGTTCAAGCACTTCTTTCCAGGCTTGTGGAGACACAGCACAGGGTTATTTATTAACAATATTGCATCTCAAGACTGATGTTTAAATTGGCCGTGACCTGTTTTTTGGATTGGATAGCAGTTTTTCAAAACATTTTTTGAATAGACCACCAATGGGAACTTCTGCATGCATGTTTATATTCATTTTAAGATAACACAATATCAATGTTCAAGTACAAATGAAATCAAAATTAAGCATATGATTTTGTTATCTTACATTGCTAGATTTGTGCATTTCATTAAGAAAGAAAAAATATTTGCCCTTGTAATCTAAAATTAAAATCTGGAAAATGCACTTCCTGTTTGTTTTCAGTTCAATTTTCAGATTTTCTGTCTGTCTGAGGTATTAGGCATGGCTGACATACTTTACCACGCTGCTCCAAATATCAGTTTGACAACAAACAGAAATGGTGAGGTGGAGGTGTCAGGTTGTAACAACTCTTCCAAAACTCTTATCCCGATCTTTCTAAATGAAATGACTACTTTACTACGTCCAATCAGCTTGCAGTAGAACAAACAAGCCACGCCCACTGTTTTCTTGTTTAATATTAGTTTCTCTAGGAACTGCAACACAATACATTTCATTTATTTATTTTCATGAATAAATAAAATGTATTTTAATTTTCATCTGTTTTCCGGAGCCGGTTCGCGGGGGCAGCTGTCTTAGAGTGCTTTCACATCTGTAGTTCGCTTCATTTGGTCCGGACCAAGCGCAATAAATGATACATTGTTGCATCCTCTGCCGTCTTTAGGTCGTTTTCACACCACACTGCTGGCTTTGGTCCGAACCAGTTGAAATGAACCAAAATGCAGTCATCTGACAAAATCCACATCTCTCATTGGCCAGATGTTGTTGAACATCTTTCCTAAACTGCTTATTGATTGGTCAAAATTCACGTGCGGGAAAATGCCAGTGAACTCCCGCAAGTAAACAAAACCTTTTACTCTAGAGGGACGACTGCGCTGGCTGATTGGATCCCTGCTTTAGACAAACTATACATTATAGAAATGAAGCGCAGCCGCGGCTGAAAAACAGTGTTTAATGCATCGCTCGTCATTTCAGGAGGAGGCGTGAATTAATTTAGCTAAACTGCGACATGGTCATCTTGCGGAAATATTACCAACGATCCATCAGGTAATGTTTTTCCCCTCTCTCTCTCTCTGTTGGTAAAGCACTGTCAACAAATATTTTTCCTCCATATCCCATAATACACAGCGCATCGGCCTACGGCAGCTGAATTAGTCCAAAAGTCGCAGTACTTTTTGCGGTTGGACCTGTTTTAGTACGGATCATATTCTCACCACAAACGAACCGCTCCAGGGTTTGTTTGAAAGCGTACCGAGACCACCTCTTCAAGCAGGTCTCGGTACGCTTATTTGGTCCGCTTTTGGTGCGCACTCGAGTACGATTGCTGCATTCACACCTGCCCAAACGAATCGTACCAAAAGGGGAAACGAACTCTAGTGCGATTCAACCGAACTAAATAAGGCAGGTGTGAAAGCACCCTTAGGAGAGAAACCCAGACTTCCCTCTCACCAAACACCTCCTTCAGCTCCTTCGGGTGTATTCCGAGTCATTCCCAGGTCAGCCAAGAGACAGTCGCTCCAGCGTATCCTGGGTCTTCCCCAAGGCCTCCGACAGGTGGGACATGCCTGGAACACCTTCCCAGGTAAGCACTTCTCTTGATGTGGAGGAGCAGTTGCTCTACTTTGAGCTCCTGGTGTCAGAGCTCCTCACCCTATCCAAAAGGTTGTGCCCTGCCACCCTACGAAGGAAACTAATTTCGGACGCTTGTACCCAAGATCTTCTCCTTTCGGTCGAGACCCAAAGCTCATGACCATAGGTGAGAGTAGGAACATAGATTAACCAGTAAATTGAGAGCTTTTCCTTTTGGCTCAGCTTTTTCTTTACCACACGGATAGATATATCGACCGCATTACTGCTGCCGCTGCACCAATCCGCCTGTCAATCTCACATTCCATCCTTCCCTCCCTTGTGAACAAAACCCAAGATTCTTGAACTCCTCCACCTGGGGTAAGGACTTTTCCCTAACCTGGAAATGGCAACCCACCTTTTTCCTGTGGAGCACCATGGCCTTAGACTTGGAGGTGCAGACTCTCAGCCCAGCTATGTCACATTTGGCAGCAAACCGCCCCAGTGCATGCTAAAGGTCCATGTTCGATGAAGCCAACAGAACAACATCAATACAACAACATCAACCAATTCTGTTCTTAATTTTTATGGACAGAATTTCAAAGCGCAGTCTTTGGCTGGATGTTGCATCACAATACAAAAAAAATAAAAATAATAATAAACGGTTGCAGCTTTTGGTTCATGTGGACTTTCATACTTTAGAGTTATTTCCAGCTGGGTTTTTTTCACTCTTCTCCTCCACTCACAGCAAATCTGTTGTTTTGGCAGATAGTCTAAAAACAGCTTATATTAAAGACAAACAAAATTGTTTTGAGTTCTGAAATTTGCTGGATGTTTTTCTTGAACAATGACCTCTAATATGTCAAAAGATCAAGGCTTCTCATTTCATGACCCCTTTAAATATGACAGTGAACTCGAGTCTTGTGTTGTTGATGTACCTTGATGTGTTTCGTGATATCCACATTGCAGGGCCGGATGTTGCAGAGTCTGCTCTCGTTGACCATCTCACACTTTTTGTTGTTGTTGGTGATTCGTAAAGAGACGCCACGACCGCAGGTCTTCGAGCAGGGACTCCAAGAGGTTGTCTGGGCCACACAGTTCTTATGCCAGTTCTTCTTCACGCTGGACAGAGCTGTAGACCATGCAGACCACACAATGATAAATAATGATAGCTTGCCTAGTTAAACTTTTTAAAACATGTTATCATCGTCTAAAATGGTGGTTTACCATTGGCTGCTAAATACTGTATGTGTATCAGTTATATCAGTGAGCAGAGATCGTACCCGCCATCGTGTGTCGCGGTGCGGTCTTGCGCCCCCTTCTGGATTCATCACAGATCCACAGCTCACAGCATTGGCCGTGGACTTTAACCCTCTGCGGGTTCTGGCACCAAACCCTGGGCGGCTGAGACTCATTGCACAACGGCACACACCCGATCGCCCCGTTCACACAAAGACACTGATATTTGCAGTTGGGCTGAAAGCTCTGTCCATTGCGATAAATCACACCATTGTGCTCACAGCCAGTGCCTGGCAGAACTGAACAACGACAAAGAGTAGAGCTGCACAGTTAATCGACAAAATATTGCAATCCCCGCTCATGAGACACCCATGAGACGATCACTGTGGTGCTACAAACAATCCAGTTATCAAGAAGAACAGGGATAAGAGTGTATAGTTGGGACAAGCAACCATAAAAGGATTAGTTCAGCCAAAAAACAAGAAAATTCTGTTATTAATTACTCAACCTCATGTTGATGAAATCACCTGAGACCTCCGTTCATCTTGGGAATACCAGTCAGGGTGTGCATTTACTATGGACATTATAACAATTTGCCACAAGTGTCAGTAGTGCAACACGTAAGCGTTGTATTGGCTAAAGTAAATGTACACAAAAGATAAACAAAATTTAAAAGATCTTTTTGTTTAAAAGATAAACAAAATTAGTTTTACAGATGTTTTGGTGCACAAAAATTTTCTTGGGGCTCCTTATGATTACAGTTGAACCACTGAAGTCACACGAACTCTGAATGTCTTCTGAATGGAGGATGAGGGAGCTCTCAGGTTTCATTTAAAGTATCTTAATTTTTGTTATGAACATGAACAAAGGTCTCTGATGATTGGAACAACTTAAGTGTGATTAATTGATAAATTTAATATTTTTGGTTTAACTAATCCCTTAAAAATGTTGTCGTTACTGAACAATTCAAGAAAATCTTCAAAACCTTCTGGTAATCAATACAGAGCACTCACAGCAAAAACAAATATTTTTAAGAAATCTTTTATACCGTCTACTATTATTATCTCAAACAAATGACCATAAAGTAGTTCATTTGTTATTCTGTGACACTGTGCATCTGTTTGTGGTTTTATAGCCAGGGTTGTGTGTTGGGTGCCGCAGTGGCGCAGTGGGTAGCGCTGTTGCCTCACAGGCAAGAAGGTCGCTGGTTCACACTATAACTACACACAGTTCTGTCCAAGCAGCTTACAAACGTTGATTTTCACCATTGAAGGCCTTTAAATGGTTAATTTGAAAAAATTAGCAATTTTGTCAGTACCTCTGGTAAATTACTTTTATTTTGTTGAGTTAACTATTCAGAATTGTGAAAGAATTTTGATCTCCACTGATCCCAAAAATTCTGCATCTCTAACTTTAATAGTAAAATAACTGGTAAAACTTAATTTTGATGGTCCATTTGAGAATTACTAGACTGTCTGCTAAATATCTCTTGATACTGCTTCTAAACAGACATTAAACTGACCATATGAAACTTTGCAAGTACTTGTCAACTTACACTAACCCTAACCCCAACCCTAACAGTCTACTTATGATCTAATGAGAATTAGTTGATATGTAGATGCAATGTAACTAAATTCAACAAACTGACCGATAAAATAAAGTGTGACCAAATAACTTAGTTAAAATACCAAGACAATGCGTATAAAATGTAGGTGAAGAGGATGAATAATTCCTCTCAGCTTTTCCTGGTTGTTTCCTGTCACCTTAATCCAGCCTTTAAATCTTCATCGTAATCTAGTCTAAGAGCGGAAGACAGTGTTAATGAGAAGGTTGTGTTAGTACAAGGACACTTACACGCACATACTCCTTTTTCGTACCTAGGCTTGTCTGCACTGTAATCACAGTAAAGGCCGCGATGATGGTCACAGTTTTCTTTCTCATTGCAAGCCTCCCTGACCTGTTTGGCACAGGCTCTGCAGCAATCGCAGCCATCCATAAGCAGACTGACACCTGGCGGGCACATGGGAGGAGTTTTGGGGCATTTGCAGGGCCATTGGCAGTACTGGCTGCGATTATAGGGCTGCGGGGTGATGGGTTCTTCAGTGGACAGCAGGTTAGAAGAATCCTGAGCAGATGCACTATGGATCTGTGAAACACAAGTTCCAACAGGTTTATGTTTCTGATGCATTTAGGCTTTTGTAGCAACACCAAAATTATTTTTCTCTATGTGCTGTAAATGGTGAAATTTATTAATTGCTGAAAAAAACATTTTTGTAGGTGTAATCTAATATAGTTAAAAGTTTATTATATATTATACTCCTTTATGATCACATTTTTTTTCTAATCTTAGAAAAATACAAATCACTGAAAAAGCTTAAGAGTTGTTATTAGGTAACTGTTTTGTGATGGAAAGGATTTTGTGACAATAAAATCTGTTTTGTGAAAGTATAAAGGTTTTTAAAAAAATATACAACAGTATAAATTTATATATACAACAGTTCTGCAATCTGATTGGCTGATAGCTGTGCAATATTAAGCACTCAGCCTCTTCACCCTTCTGTATTACTCCGCCCACATAGAGTGACAACAGATCAATAAACCCACTACAGATTGACAAGTATTGCAGCAGTTGGACAACATAATCTACTTTTGAGGCTTTTTAAATGCGATAATAGTTGTTTAGATTGCAACTTTGCAGTTTATTTATAAGCACAGTGTCTACTTTAAATATTCATAATTGCAGAAATACAGCACATCGGCATCCATCAGCTTGTCATACTGAGCAGAGCAAAGAAGTTTGACTCTCCGCCACAAGATGGGGACATAGACCGTATAATAAATCCCTTAAAGGAAAAAAAGTATGCATAATTTCAAACTTGGGAAACTCAATGACTTTCTAAGTCGATCTCTCTGATGTGGTGCTGTATTTATAACATAGTAATCTGGTAGTGTTTGCTTTGCTTTGGCTTTTGCATGTTAATTATTGTGGTATCCTGATTGCAACAAAGAGTAACTGGGAAATGTCTCCAAACAGATGGCATTTCATGCTGTACAGCCTTATAATCTTAAAATGTCAGCAAAATCACCTGTTTTGTCATCACTCTTAACATTGCACTAGTTAGTTTAGATAATTATTCAAATACTAGCTCTAAAGTGACGTTGGTGAAGTAGCAAGGGTTTTCTGGAGCTTATCTAACAAAACAAACTATGATAACGATCCAAAAACTAGTACACCCTAATGTATGTTCTAAAAAAATATTAAATACAAATTTAAAAAAGAGAAAAAAAATCAAGAGAAGCAAATTTTCTTTTTTTATTTAGTTGAGATTTTGTAGGTTGTCATTTTTTGCAATATTTTGCTTGAATTTAATTGTATTATCTTTCCATTTTTAAATATGTTTGGTGACTAAAATACTTTTTAAATAAATATATAAATCTGTTGAGAGAGAGAGAATTAAAATACATCTAGTACACTACACTATATAGTTTTTTTTTGCACATATATTAATTAGATTGTTTTAAAATATTTTTCAAAAGCTTAACACTGCAATGCTTTTAAATTACATACGACAAACAAAATGATCCAGATTGTTGTTTACAGCTGTAGGATCTTTACCCCCTGACTTCTTATAGCCTGGGTCAGATAAGTAGCAGCTATGTCAAGTTTAGGGCAGGATAAGTATGCCTTCTGGGTGACGGTTTTAAACAATGTCTGTCGTGTTGATAGACATAACGGAGTGAATTAAGATTCATAAATTTCAAATGATTCAATCTAATATTGTTTTAATGATTCATTTGCGTCCACAGGGCGGCAGTAAACTCTCACACATCCCAATATTACATGCTGTCATTACATTCCTTAAATGAGTCAAACATGATGTCATTCATTGAGAATTCCCGTCATTGAAGTGTTAATCCTTTGTGCATTTTAGATAATTAATTAAGACGTGTATTGATTTTTGTGCAAAGTTAGATCAAATACAAACCAATCTGAATCATATTCAGATTATATTAAGTGTACAGGTATGCACATATAAAACTAATTGTAATACGCAGACAACAAACCTTGTTAATAGAAATATAGTTCTAGATAATTTTATATATTATTTTATTAATAGCATCTTACACACAAATATAATTTCCACTGCATGTCATGTTTAAACTAGACAGTCATTGCAAGCAACTAACAAACAAACAAATAAAAATTACGTAGGTATTATAATGTTTAAGTAAAGAACACATAAGACAAATATAGATTTTTCATGTAATGACGATACAAATAGCTCTTATGAATAGGATTGCTTCTTACCTGTGGTGCACAAGCAGAAAGTAGGGACCACATTAGAATCCAAGACATCACTGGTCACGACTGATAAATGCATTGAATCCAGAATTAGACGATTTAAAAAATTGTCCATACGCGAGCAGGATCCATTCATCAGATGGGAGTCGCGCTCGCACACACAAAGGCATGCGCACTTTTACACATCTATACACCGCTGGAGCTACTGGAAAGTTTTCATACTCTTCATCCCTGTTGACGTCAGAACCAATAACAAACGGACCCCTCCAAGGATTTGGTGGATGTCAGATTAATATTCCAGTAAACAAGAACAGGTGAACTGAAGACGATCTTTGCGAGCGAGCACTAAAATTGTCTTTTTGGATCACATAATGCTAGTCTATTTTGTGAATTTTGAGATGTATTGTAAACGTTTTGGCATTCAAGATTCATGTGACAGTGAAACAACTATATATTTTTTTGTTCAGATATATAAAAAGAAAACCGAGATTATCGTATCATTTGTCAAATCTGTAAAATGGAAAAATAATTTCAAACATGGGATTCAGAAGACGGGATGAATGTTTCCAGAACTTTCGTCTTTTAAGAAGCTTTAATGTTTATTGAACATTTTCATACCACAAATAATAGGATATTTTTTCATAAAGGAGAAATTTTCTTTGGATGATTAATGTGTTGTTGAAATAAACAAACAAACAAAGAAATATATACATACACGCATTAAAATGAATAAAAAATAAAAATAAATAAATAAATGAATAAATCAATAAATGAAGATTCTTTGGGGAACCATAATAATTTTTCTGTGGAAATACCACAAAACCATAAAAAAAAAGATTTTTTACATAATTTAAAAACTGATTAAATAATATGTACATTGATGCATCTTGTTAGCATAGAATAATAGATTTTTATGTCTATAAACTGTTAGAAAAAAAAAACTGGAAACTTGAAGTTCATTCATTTTCTTGTTGGCTTAGTCCCTTTTTAAATCCGGGATCGCCACAGCGGAATGAACCACCAACTTATCTAACAAGTTTTTATTCAGCGGATTCCAGCCACAACCCATCTCTGGGAAACATCCACACACACTGGACAATTTAGCCGACCCCATTCACCTGTACCACATGTCTTTGGACTGTGGGGGAAACGGGAGCACCCAGAGGAAACCCACGCAAACGCAGGGAGAACATGCAAACTCCACACAGAAACGCCAACTGAGCTGAGGCTCAAACCAGCGACCCAGCGACCTTCTTGCTGTGAGGCGACAGCACTACCTACTGTGCCACTGCTTCGCCCACTTGAAGTTCAAAAATAAATACTGAGAAAATTTACTTTAAAAATCTACTTTAAAGCATCTAAATTAAGTGCAATGCACATTACCAATCAAAAATGTACTTTTTATACAGAAAATTCACAAAATGTTGAACGTGGAAGATCATCTTTACCTAACATTTGAATGATTTTTGGCATCAAAGTTTGACTCATAACTCATACGATGTATAATACCGATGCTACATCTTTTGGTCCAGGGTCACAAATGTCTTCGAAATCGCAAACAAGCAGTCTCAAAAATCATTTTGTACGAGGAACTACTTTCTTTCACCATTCATTCACATCTGCAGCTGACTTCAGAACAACTGAAGCCGTTGCTAATTTACCAGAGTCACTTTAGAGCTAGTATTTGAATGATTCTCTAGCATAATGTCTAAAGTGATGAGAAAACAGGTGATTTTGCTGACATTTTAAGATTAAAAGGCTGAACGGCATGAAATGTCATCAGTCTACAGAGATTTTTCAGTATTTTTCTGTTGTATTTTTCTGATCGGGAGATCACAATAAATAACCCAGAAAAAGCCAAAGCAAACACTACCAGATTACTATGGTATAAATACAGCACTACAGCATATAAAGAAGAAAGAGATCGAATTAGAATGTCACGCACCTGTTCTGTAATGATTTGATCAGCTGTAGTTTGAAATTTACCAAGTTTTTCTGCCTAAGGACTTATTTTGCTGTCTCTGTCGCCATCTTGTGGTGGAACATCAACCATCTTTGCTCTGCTCAGTTTAACAGGCTGATGGCCAACTTGCTGAATTTCCAAAATGAATATAAATATTTAAAATAGGCACTATGTTTATAAATAAACTACATAATTGCAATCTAAACAACTACATTCTCACCTGAATAAGCTTCAAAAGTGTGTTGTGTTGTCCATCAGCTGCAATATCTCTCAAACTGTAGAGGGTTGTTTAATCCCTCTTTTGTCCTATTGTGGGTAGAATAATACACAAGGGTGAAGAGGCTGTAGGAGAGCTGATATTGCCTTAATATTGCATGGCTATCAGCCAATCAGATTCGAGAACCAGACAGAACTGTTGTAAAAACCAGCACATATCATGCTATAAGTGTTTGAGCTACTTTAAATCAATGATCCAAGGAAAACATCCCTTCTGAGGGAAACGCAAGAGGGAGTTGGCTTAAATAGAAAAAACGAGTAAATGTTCCCTTGCTCTTTTCATACCATGAGAAACAAAATACTATTGTTAAGTTAAAATATTCCCCGAAAAGTGATGTATTTCACACCTCTGGATAATACATTATAAAACATCACCCTTATTTCGTATTTCTCATTAAACTGACCATTTAATATGGTCTCTTTAAGTTCAGTTTATTGACAATAAAGAACACTTCATACCACCTGATGACCAGATGAAACCAAAACCACATTGATGACATCATTGTTTCTTTTCCATAGAAGTCTTTATTTAACTACAGTATAAATGCAATGCACTTGTAATTTCATCTACATAGCTGAAAGTCAGTTTCAATGTTTTTATTTGCAAAAGTGCCTGGAGAAAGAAACCACATGAGAAGAAAGAAAAATCATTATTTCTAAAGGTTACTAACTGAATGGCAAAGTCAGTGAAGCAAAGTGTTTTTAAGGGCAGGTGTGGACACGCTCAACTCAAAGATCTAAGAGTGATTATAACTGTTCAGCTACAAAGGGAGAACACATTTAACTCTTTTAAAAAGATGAACTGTAATATGCGGGTGTAAAGTTAAACATGGTAAACTCTCATTTTCAAGAGTAATCTGAGAGGCTTATATAGCAGCATGTGTCAGTGAGAAAGTGTGAAAAGATTCGCTGACTCAAAATAAGATGTCTAATCTTATGTTTTCAAGTGACATAAAGCCCATAACCCTGCCTTTCACTCTCTGTTTAAGAACATTCTCCAGAACATTCTGCACGTAGCTTCAAATGTAAAAAATAAAAATTGGAAATCCCTCTTAAATACCGGGAGATAAATGGACTGGTCACTCAAAGCTTTCTCCATTGTTTGCATTGATTGTTTTGGCTTAATTGTCCAGTCATATCTCATTTATTCTAGTGACAGCTAATTTGTCATCCCAGCGTGATCAGTGTTTGGATAACTCAGATTCTGCTGAACAATGGCATTGAGTTAAAGCAAGGGATTTAAAAACAATTTCATAAAAACAATTAATGCTTTTGGACAACACGGTGGCTCAGTGGTTAGCACTGTCGATTCACAGCAAGAAGGTCACCGGTTTGAATCCCGGCTGGGTCAGTTGGCATTTCTGTGTAAAGTTTAGATGTTCTCCCCACATTCAAATGGGTTTCCTCTGGGTGTTCCCCCACAGTCCAAAGGCGTGCAGTATAGGTGAATAGAATAAACTAAATTGACCGTAGTTTATGTGTGTGAATCAGTGTATGAATGTTTCCCAGTACTGGACTGCAGCTGTAAGGGCATCTGTTGTGTAAAACATATGCTTGATAAGTTGTTGGTTCATTCCGCTGTGGTGACTTCGGATGAATAAGGGACTAAGCTGAAGGAAAATTAATGAAAGAATGGACGCTCTTCTGGTTGAAATACTTTGTGGATTGTTAATCTGAATGCATTGACTGCCTGTCAACATGTTTGGAAGCAGTTAAGAGATCACTTTAGTGTTATTCTTCATTATGCTTTTAGTAAAACGCTCATTTGTGTATGATTTTATAAAGTACTAATAACTGATGTCAACTACAAATATAATCTCTTAGCACATGGTGCCCAGACTTTTACATATAAAGGGCCAAAAATGAAATTTCATCATGAGAAATTGGTCAAAGGTAAATATATAAAACAATATTACATTTAAGTTGCCATGGTTAATTTCCTAATTTATTTCAGAATATTTCAAAATAAATAAAAAATATTACTTTAAATCTTATTAACTAAAGCAGTCTAACTTATTGCAATTAAATTATAACAGTGAACAGTGAAGTTCAATGCTGAATACACACTAGACAAGCAGAATCTGCCTTTGCCTTGATTTTCTCACCAGAGTCTTTGCATTGTTTCCCCAACAATCCAAAGACATGCGCTATAATTAAATTGGGTAAACAAAATTGGCCATAGTGTATGAGTGTGTGTGAATGTGAGAGTATATGGGTGTTTCCCAGTACTGGATTGCTAGAAGGGCATCCTCTGCGTAAAATATGTGCCTGAATAGGTGCCAATTCATTCCACTATGGCGATGCCTGATGAATAAGTGACTAAGCCGAAAGAAAATGAATGAACAATTTAAGCATCAAACGATGGATTTCTACATTTATTTTAATATACCAAATGCTTTCACTTATTGTTTAAATGTACTTAAAACTAAATATGAATAGATGGGTGAAGAAAAAAATGGTAAGTCACTTTAAATAAAAAGCAACCGTTAAATAACAACCATAAAAGTCAATTGTAGTTTTATTTGTGTTGTTACAATGGGTATACAATCTAAATCTAGAAAAGCCAAAGGGCACCGCAGACCTGTTCTTTTCCTTTTGGCTTGCACTGGATTGCCAGGCTTAGATGAGGCAGAGAAACTAGACTGGATGCCAAAGCCAACAAAGCATGAGAGAAAGTCACACTTCATTGCCTCACTGAAAAGAGACTTTTTGACTTGGCATTTTAGATCTTCAGTCATTCTTTTCATTAGATAAAACGTAAGATTCATCTTTCTCCCTTATTTATAATTTTCTGATAGTATTTTTTATTGAAGCTCTGTAATTTTAGATCTTGTGAGGGGAAAAATAGTGTTGCTTTGTTCATTTTTTAAAACTATATATTAGTCCAATATTTGTTTCAAGAGTCAGTTAGGCAAATGACATATTCTGTGCAGTTTATATTAATA